AACATGGAAATGAGCCCTTTTTTCTAAAGTAATTATATTTTATAAAGTTTTCCAGAATATTTTACAAAAATAAAATTTTCTTTTCATATTGTACAATATTCAGATATAAATTGCTATTATTCTTTCATATTGTGTATATGTATTATACCGATTTTATCTGTTATATTTATCTAATATACTGAACGTATACATGTTATATAAATTTATAATATGTATATTTCTGTATATATGCAAAATAATATGAACTAACAATATGCATCATTATCATACTTTGAATATAACAAAAAAAAAAAAAAGGATATAACAAAAAAATTAAGCAACTTTGGGAAGGAAACATTGATATATTTTGGAAAGCATTATATTTGTATGTAGACTCATTATAATGTTGAGAATTATAGAGAAAATTTATATATATATATTTTTTTTTCTTAGAAAAATTATAATTTTTTTCTAAAGAGCACTTGTGAATTTAAATACAAATTTTTTATAATGTTGACTACATATATTGAGTGTAAACGTATACATACACACATATATGTATATAAATAGTGAAAGGATATAAAAGTTTTATTGTCTAAATTGAAATTATCTCAATATATAAAAGTTTTTTTTTTTTGCAAAAATTTTTTCATTATGATCCTATAATAAATACTAAGTACTAAGTACTAAATTTTTTTGTCACTTATATCATTCGAATTAATGTTTTGTGAAAAGAAGAAAAAAAAGAGAAAAATGAAAAAAAAAAAAAAAAAAATATTATATCCATATTTTGGTGACACAAAAGTATTAATTGTTTTAAGGAAATCTTTCTATTACAAAGGATCATTTAAATGTTATTATGAAAAATTTTGAATACTTAAACTTATATAATGAATATAGAATATAGAATTGCCAATTATAATTTGAATAGGTACTCTATTTTTATCGTATAATATAAAGTATTGGATTTTTTTTTTATGAAATTTTATTTTTCGCACAAAAATTATATTTATTATTAAATTAATTAAAAAAAAACAATAAAGTATAATACTCGTAGAGAGTAATTTAAGAAAATTTTCAATAGATTAGTTTTGGTTAGTAAGATGGAAAATTAATTTTTTTGAAAAAATTTTAATTAAATAGAATTTTTAACGTTCTTGATTATACGCAATATAAATATATATTATTGTTGTGTATATAACATCAGTACTATTTGGAGTGTTCGCTAAACATATTCGTAAATATAACAGTTCAAAAGAAATTCTGTGCAAGTACTTTAAAGTGTCTGTTATTTGGCTTATTAGTAAAAGGAACGCTAACATGTGTAGAGCATAAATAAATGTGCATAACTTCTAGCCTAAGGTATTTCTTTTTATGTAGGCTAGGGAAATCAAGAGTTATAAGCAGATAGGATGCCATCTGTTTAGAGTATTATATGACCTTAAGGAAGACTATATTAATTGTTCTTGCATATATTATTATATATGTATATATTGTGTGGTTATAAGAAAAAAAGTGTACTACTTTATAGGAGTGCTATTGCAATGAGTCTTCAGCGAGCACGTTTAATAACTTTATACAAAAATTCCTATACATATACAAATCATTAATATAATACAAATATAAAAAAAATTTGAAACCAAATTGAATTTTTGGAAAGGCTTATTATAATTTTAATTTTTTTGAAAAACCATTGGACATACATAGTAATTTTATAATATTTATATTATTAGTTATATACAATTATATAATGATGATACTAAAAATAGGTAACCTCCCATTTTGTTTTAAGAATTCTATGGTAATGACATTATGAATTTTGAATTATTAATAAAAATTATAAGTATTTTATTATAATATTTTTGGCCAAAACTTTAAGAAGTGGCAATAAAGAAAATTTTTAAATATTATATAAAATTTTAATAAATAACTATTATATAATTTGTTCATTATTTTGAATTCAAACAATTGGCAATATAACAGAAACGAATTTAATTTAATAAGTGAAATTTTATAATTTGGTTTTTTTTTTCTTTTAACTACAAATTTGTATAATATGAGTTGCAGTGCATCTTTATGAAATTTTTCATTAAAGTGCTATTCTAAAATTAAACTCTAGACCAAATTGTTTGAAATATAATCAAGTCAAAAAAAATTTCTGTATATACAAGGGACGCTATATGATATTTCATCAAATTTTTTCAAAGCGAAAATCTTCCATATTTTAAATAGAGACCTAAAACTACAATATTCTTATTTTGAGGCTCAAATTCAAGTGTGATATATTCAGCTGAATAATATTTAAATATTATGAATTAAATTTAATGAAATATATTTTATTTATTCTAAATAAAAATTATAGAAATTTGTATTCATTTCTTTAAATTCAATTTAATAAAATTTGTTTTAAATTTCACGTTAATTTTTTTGCGTCTGTTCATACCGTAAATTTTCATAATAAAGGAAAAAAAAAATTTTTTTCAAATTTTTCATTTTAAAATTATTCTTTTAAATTATCTTTTAACGAAAATGAATTTTTTTGTTTTATACTTTTGTCACTTTAATTTCGTATCACGATTCACATTGTTTGTTAGAAAGTAAGCTAGCGCTATCATAAAGATCACACCTTTAATAATAAAAGCATTAAAATAATTTTTTTATTTTTTCATTTTTTTTTTTATTTTTGTTTTTTTTTTCTTCTTGTTTTGTAATGACATCAGTCAAGGTTATCTGCAGATTTTGCATTTTCTTTTATATATATATATATATATATATATGTATTTTAATAAGTATTTTATGTATAACAGCTACATAAAATATTTTGAAAGATTAAAAGTCAGCTGGGTAATTCCATAAATATCCAATTAAAATTCTTTGTTTCATAATGTTTTATAAAATTTTTTATTATTAAATTTTCCATAAGCGTTAAAAGAATTTTCTTCAATTTTTTTTTTTTTTTTGCAATTTGAAATCATTCAGAGCATTGGTGGGAGGTATGAGATTTATATATGTACATATAAATATGTATGATAAAACCCGATTATATTAACTTTACTTTATCTTATCCTATTGTCATCCATTTTGTATTTTATTATTATAATTTTTTTTTTCCATGTTTCTTTAATTTTTTTTTTTTTTAATAATTTATTAACTTCATGAACATTTGTCACAATGTATTATTTATGCTGAATTAAATAAATAATATTTTCTATTCAGATAAAAAATAATATTATAAAAGAAAGAGAAAGAGTGAGATATATCAGAAAGAGAGAGACAGAGAAAATGATAAAGAAGAAAAAAAAAATTGGTTTTGTTTTATTTATTTATTTCTTCATATTTTTAAATTGAATACTAAAATAAGATTATATGTAGAGTATGAAGTAGAATATGTATATAAAAGAAAGTAGAGTGTGAAAGAGAAGAATATAAAAATTTTATATATAAAATTTTAATATTAAAATTTAAAAAATACAATTTTTTTTTTCTCTTTCACTATTTTTGTTATTTTTTTTTGTTTTTCATTCTTTGGTATTTTTCTCAATCCATTGAACTTTTAAACCAGCTTTTCTATCTAACTGTATATTATTATAATAATATTATACTATAATATAACTGTTATACATGCCATATAACAAAAAAAAATACTCAAATTTTATACTTATGTGTATAACAAAATAAACCTACAAAGATAATGTACGCACATAATATGTTTGTATAAATGTTTGTAATATGTGCTAAAATAAATTCGTGATCTGCCTGTTGTTATCCTCTCATTTTTATTTGTCATCCTTTTAAAAATGATTTATCAAAGGATTTTTAACAGTAAAATATTTTATTTTATTATGAGTTTTTTTTTTATTTTATTTTCTTTTTTAATTTTTTTATTTTTCCCTATATATATGAGAGGGTATATAAATGTAGATCTTATTCTAAACATAAGAAACAAAACGGATCTTTAATTTTTGTTTTGAATTATTTTTTTTGTTTTTGTTTCTAAAAATTCTATAGGAGTGAAAAGGAAGAAGTATATATAAAAAAAAGTATAAAAAACTTAAAAGAAAAACACAAAATATAGAAAAATGATATAAAGCCTTCTTTTTTAAATGGAGTGTAAATATGCATAATAAGGTGGTGAAGTCTCGGTATAAAATGCTTCCAAAACATAATAATTTCAAATATAAGTGTGGGGTTTCGTCTTTTATTTATATGACTATTCTCTGTACAGAATTTTATTTACCTACATATTTCTGGACTAAATTTGTTTTTGAAACAGCAATTTTTCAAATTTCTATGAAATATTATTTGATCATGCCCAATTATGATGTATATTATAATAAATGTTATACTGCAATCTATTTTTAATGCTCATGATCAGGATAATCATGAATAAAATCCGCATTTCAACAACCCTAAATATTGTCAATTAATGGGAATTTAAAGACTCGAATGGGGCTGAGCAAATTATAAAACTTATTATTAAAAATATCATATTTTATTTACTCGGAAAATTTTGTTTTGTCTTGGTCTAAATAATTTTCATACAGAGAATTCACTGTATTTTTTATATTTTAAGCAGTTTAAAATAAAAAAAATGTAAAAGATCGCATTATACCGTAAAATTATAAATTTTATTTTATATACAATAAGTCAATGTGTATATGCGTATATAGAAAAGATGTTTTATACATCATACATGCATATAAAATTTATATTTGAAAATATTTTTTAAGGTTTTTGTTTTGAATAATTAAATATGTTTTTTTATTTTTATAATATTCTTTTATTTCAAAATCATAAGATGCCCTATATGTACATTATATGTGCATATGTATATGGTACATAATTATACTATGTATGCTTTGTATGGATGTACATTCTTGTACCCAAGTACTTACATACATATATACATGAATATCATGCTTGCAATTTTAAAAAAAAAGAAAATATTTTTTTATTTTTATTCAATATTTATGTATATTCTTTATTTTTAATTTTGTTTTTTCTTATATTTTCTTTAATAGCGCCGCCATCATCAATTGAAATTCAAGGATATCAACACAATTCAAAAGTTGAAGTGACTGAAAATAAGGATTTAACTTTAACGTGTATTGTATCGAATGCAAAACCAGCTGCACAAATTGTATGGTATCGTGGAAATGTTGAATATAAACCAGGTAAAGATTTTAATGTACCTACATATATATATATATTTGTTTTTATGTTTATTTATTATAATTATGTTATTGTAATGGTATTTAAAAATTCTTTTGCATTTTATACAGTGTGTTCTTATAATATTATAATTTATTTACATAGAGTAAAACATAAAAAATATTATGTTAATTTAAATAGTTATTCAAAAAAGATAAATTTTATATCACTTGTATAATTACCTTGTCTAATGAATTAATAAAATTAATCCTAATCTAGCGTTCGAGTAATATTTCAGTCATTTTGAAATGAAAAATGTTATAATTTGGAATGTATTTGGTTTATTTCATCAAATTTTACGAGGGTTAAAGTTTCTCTTACAAATCTAGTTGAAACAAAATTTTATGAAATTCTTATGAAGATTTTAAAGTCCAAAAATCATGCATCAATTCAAGACACATTTAAAAATTGTCCATTAATGCATTAGAAAATTCTGATTACATAAATGTGAATGTCTCAATTTTGATTGTTCTACTTTAAATTCTCTAATATGCTTGTTCCGGTAAATATTTTCATAAGCGTCTGGTAACTCAATTTTTCTAATATAATTTATGATTGGAAATAATATTGTGAATCTCGGATATTAATTGTGTTTTACATAATTTTTCTAAAATATTTCATACAGTAATTTTTGCTATTAAACGCTTTGTAAGCAATCTGTATAAAAAATGTTATTTGTACATAATATCACATGTATATTATTTAAAACACTTTATACTCGTAAAATGTATGTCAAAATTTAAATGAAAAGATTTCAAATATATACATATATACGAGTATTCTGTTATTATTTTTAAAGTAGTTTATGAATTATATGAATATTAAGGAACTACAATATTTTAAAGCATAAAAATAATAATAAAAGTAAATATTATGGAAACAATGAAAATCAAAATGAAAACTGGAATGTTTTTATCTTAAGGTTCATGAAAATTAGGATTTAAAAATAAAAGTATAAAAATTATAATTTTCTACCCTTCTTGTTTTGTTATTTTATTTCATTTTTTTATTGTTTGTTTATGTATTTATTTTTCTTTATTTTGTATTTTAAATACTTACTTACCCCATTTAGAAAATAGGATATTTTTTCTCTTATAAAATATAAAATAATGCATTTACGATAATATGTAACAGATATACGTACATAATATTATGTACTTACCTATGTATAACAAAAAAATATGTATACTTTGTACTTGTAACATTTTTTTTTTATTTCTTGAATAAAAATGCATTTAGTATATGCAATCCTTGTTAGTAATCCTTGTTAATATTTATATATATTTACAGTAATAATTTATTTATATAAAACTTTAATTTAGAGCAATAAAAATCGGTAAAATGTTAGGTCCAATACAATGATAGAATTTTGAAAAAAAAACTCATATATATACAAATAGAGAAAATAGAAAAACAAATTCTATATGGATATTTGTTATTTCATTCTTTCTTCAGTATATTTGAGAGAGTTTTAGAAGAGTTGGGAGTATTAGAATCTTCATGTTGAAAAAAACGTAATTCCTATACGTATAAAATATAACATAGGTATAGAAATTTTGTTTTATAATATTGAACTTTAATAAGGTTTTTGATTTCAAAAATTTTAGTATGTCTTGTTGGGCAATATAATATCTGAACCTGATACAATATTATTTAACTTTTATATTCAATATTTTTTTTATAAATAAATATGGATATTATTTTATTTCAACTATATATTATGTAAAACAAATAAATTTTTAAACTTAAAATTAATTGAACTTGGAATTTAAAATTTATTTTTATTTATTTTTAATTCATTCATATTTCGAAATCTCCCTACAATTCAATTTTAATTAAGTTAATTTATTTTTTTTTTCTATATTGATTATTTCAGAATTTCTATTAAAATAATAATTCCAAATATTTTTCGTAAAAGCAAAAATATACTGGCATTTCTTGTTATAATACATGAGATTTCATAGTTAGTTTTACTCAAAATAGCTTTATCAAATTTTATGAAAAATTTATAATACAAAAAGTATAAGAATTTTTTTTAGAAATTTATAATAGTCTCTTTGAAATTCTCATTTTGAAAATATAATAATGAATAATTTTGTAGTATTTAAATTCAAAAATAGAAAGCTATTGGCAATTTCAAAATTTAAAATATTTTTAATGCAACATTTTTAAAAATTAATTTTTTTTTAAAGAAAAATGACGATTTTATAATATTATAGATTGTTTGTCAACCATATTATTGAATCTGGTTAGGTTTCAATCTTCGGTGTTAATTTGAGCCCAGTCCTCCTAGACCTTATTGCTCCAACTATTGTTTTCAAGTGAACTTATTCGATAAATATTTTATTGTATTCATAGATTCACTTAAAATTTAATAAATTTCTTTTATTAAAATTTTGAAATATAAAAATTACCGTAAAAAATAAAACGTCGGAAGAACGCAACTATTTCAATTAATTTGTAAATTTAATATTCAAAATTTTGGATTTTCAGTCATAAATTTCAATTAAATCCATTTACATTTCGGCTTTACAAAATTTCATAATTATAGCAATAATACAATAAAACTAGATATATATGCATATTTTTCTAAAAATAAAGTTTTGTCTTAATTTCGTGTTTACCGCATGATTCCGAAGTTATAAGCATTTATTTATATGCACAAGAAATCTGATACCTTTTTTTTAGCAGACTGTAGCTGAAAAAAAGTATATCTGCACCCCCTCCCTCCATACATTTTTTTGCTGGAAATTGATCAAAGAATCATCCCTGAATTTACTTGCCACCTTATACGAAACACTCCTGTTTTATTTTACCACACAATTTTAGTTGTCTCTTGATTCTTCTTTATATACATTTAGCTCTATGATCGTTCCAAGCAAATTATTTCTTTAATATTTTTTCATTTTTAAAGAATTTCACATCCTTATTCTTGCTGTATTTCAAAACATTAATTTTGATGGCACTGGAAAATCTTACAAAAACAAAAAGGATATAATTTTTCTTTATATAGCTAATACCATGTAATAATATAACAACATAGCAGCTATTTAGATGTAGAGGCCTCAACGAAAAAAAAAAAAATTGAATAATAAATTTATTTTATATAGCCAGACATAACCATTCAAAATTATAATTTAATTTTGAAAAAAAAAAAATTTTATAATATTACTTTAAAAAATAAAATATACTTAAAAAGGATATAAAGGTAAACTAATTTTTTTATTATATAAAAAAATGGAAGTTTTGTTATGTAGCATGAGGAAACGTGAGAGGTATATAGTTAAATCTCCAGACACATATTTTTCGCACACAATTACCACCACTTAAGATTTGAGGTTATTTTTAATTTATTAAAAAAAAACAAAAACTGAAAAAAAATATTCAAAGCAATGAGAATAATTAGTCTCAGTTAGTACATAAAAATGGGGGTAGTTATACTTAGAGCAGAAAAACAAAACAATGGCAGGAAATTTTTTATAATAAAAATCTTAAAATTTTTTTAAAAATTTTAACAAACTGAGTAATAACAATTTTTTTATTTTATTTATTTTATATTACAGTAAAATGCTTTTATATTTCACTATAAAGAACAGTAAATTCTGAATTAAAATAATGAGATTTTCAAATGGCAAAAATTTTTAAGATTGTTAGTATGCTATTTACTATTGCATGGTGTTCGATTATAATCTTGCCCGTGATAATAATTTAAAATGGTTATCCAAAACAAAAATAAGTCACTTTTATCAATTGCTTCTATATAGAACCAATTTCTGATTTTCTGTAAATGAGCAATTATAAAATTTTAACGTTTTCATTCGTCTAATTCTTCTTATATGCTTAATTTAAGGTAAGTTCAAAATTTCTCTCCATTTAACGTAAAGCCAATTGACGCGTTCCATTTCAGACTTAATGACAAATAAATCATAAAGCGGTTTAATCAATGTTTAAAATAAAATTAATTTATGAAAATTCTTTGGTTCCATTTGCAATTTTTCTCTTATACAAATTCCATGGAATAAAATGTTGCTACTGTTTGCAATCATAAAAATATTTTATTAGCCGAATCATGGAAATTTTCCAAATTATTTATTTTTAAACAGAGAATAATTACATTAGGAAACATTCATTTACTTGTGAAAAAATATTTCAATTTATTGAAAAAAATTAAGAGAAAAAATGTGATTGCCTTTTCAAATTATTGAGAATTTACTGTTTTTTCTGTTATTTTAATGTTTATGCAGAAAAATTTGCTAAAATATACACAAAATTAATGTTTTGGAATGTATTTTTAATAAAAGAAACTAAATAGAATAAAACAAAAACAAAATGTGAAAGAGAAAAAAGAAGAAAGAAAATTGAGGATACTCGTATTTTTTTTTGTCCGCCATCATACCGCCCTCTTAACTTTTATTTTTACTTGATTTTATTTATTTATTTTTTTGGTTGTTTATGATATTATCTTTTTTTATTTTCATACTTTTTCTGTACAAAACAAAAAAAAAAACAAAAAAAATTGTAACAAAACAAAAACTTTAAAAATATTTTGAGAGAACTTTTCTTCTCTTTTTTATTTTTCTCTCTTAATTTTTTTTTTTGTGCAAATTAATCGGTTTTTGAGTATGCAAATGAATTGCTTTTTAAGCTTCTGAAACCTCCTCCTTTTCTTTTTCTACTCTGATTTTGCCTACTTGTTTTATTATTATTTTTCTTTGGGGGTTTTGTGTTTTTCTTTATTCAAATTTTCATTACAAATTAAGTTCAAGAGGACTATGGCAGTATACAATGGATTCTTGGCGAAAAAAAAAAAAAAACAAAAAAAAAATATAAGAAGCAAAAGACCAATCTTTCAATTGTTGTTTTGTTTTTAGTACTATAGAGTCGTAACTGTAATGGTTCTGTAATAATGCATTTAAAATTTTAACATTTTGTTTTTTTTTTTTTAAGGAGTTTTTTTTTTCTT